ATTGATGAAGGTGGCTACACTAAACAATAGATTTTTCAGCGTAGCTAAAAGAGCCTTATATTGGAAGAAGATGCCATCTAGGACTTTCATAGCCAGAGAAGATAAGTCAATGCCTGGCTTCAAAGCTTCAAAGGACAGGCTGATTTCACTCTTGTTAAGAGCTAAGACTGCTGGTGATTTTAAGTGGAAGCCAATGTGCATTTACCATTCCAAAAATCCCAGGGGCCTTAAGAATTATCCTAAATCTACTCTGCTTGTGCTCTATAAATGAAACAATAAAACCTGGATGACAGTGCATCTGTTTACAGCATAGTTTACTGAATATGTTAAACCCACTGTTGAGACTTACTGTTCAGAAAAAAAAAAAAAAAGATTGCTTTCCAAATATTACTGCTCATTGACAATGCACCTAGTCACCCAAGAGCTCTGATGGAGATATACAAGGAGATTAATGTTGTTTTCATGCTGTGAACACAACCCCTATTGTATAGCCAATGGATCAAAAAATAATTTTGAATTTCAAGTCTTATTATTTAAGAAATACATGTTATAAGGCTATAGCTGCCATAAATAGTAACTCTTCTGATGGTTCTGGGAAAAGTAAATTGAAAACCTTCTAGAAAGGATTTACCATTCTAGATGCCATTTAGGACACTTGTAATTCACGAGAGGAGGTCAAAATATAAACATTTACAGGAGTTCGGAAGAAGTTGATTCCAACCCCCATGGATGACATTCAGGGGTTCAAGAATTCAATGGAAGAAAGCACTGCAAACATGGTGGGAATAATGAGAGAACTAGAATTAGAAGTGGAGCCAGGAGATGTGGCTGAATTGCTGCCATCTTACGATAAAACTTTAACATATGAGAAGTTGCCTTTTTTGGATGAGCAAAGAAAATGGTTTCTTGAGAGAGCGAGTCTATTCCTGGTGAAGATCCTGTGAACATTGTTGAAAAGACAGCGAAGAAGTTAATATATTACATTAACTTAGTCGATAAAAAAGTAGCAGAGTTTGAGAAAAGTAAATCAATACAGGAAATTTCACTGCTGTCTTACTTCAAGAAATTTCCACAGCCACCCCAACTTTCAGAAACCACCACACTGATCAGTCAGCAGTCATCAACACTGAGGCAAGGTCCTCCACTAGTAAAAAGATGAGGACTCATTGAAGTCTCAGATGATTGTTAACATTTTTTAGCAATGAAATATTATCTTAATTAAGGCATGTACATTGTTTTTTAGACATAATGCTATTGCACACTTAACAGAGTATAATATAGTACAAACATAACTTTCATATGCACTGGGAAACCAAAACTTTTGTGTGACTTGCTTTATTGAGGCTGTCTGGAACTGAACCCACAATATCTCCAATACTAAAATTCTATATGCCTGTATATGAAAATAGCCAATTAGAGAACAATTTCTCAGAGCCAGAAAGCCACAATGCAAGTGAGACAACATAGTTTTAAAATTAAAAAAAATTAAAAGAAAAAGAAAAAAGAAACTCTAAAAAGCATTATGCCTTTGCCCATAAAAGCCATTTGTTTGTTAGTGTGAGTTCTGAGGAAGACCAAATCCTGTCTTAAGTACGTGTTTGAAGCTTGTGTCAAAAGCTCTTTGAGGGCAGTTTAACCACAGTGAGAGATTACATCTTGCATTCCAATCTGCATCCATACAAATTCAATTCTTAAAATGGTGATGAGGATGGGATGTTTCATCTAGGTCTTCCCAGGTGCTCATGATTTTATGTTTCTACAAACACAATCTGCACTTTTCTGGTAAAATGAAACTGAGAGAGGATGAATGACTCTCAGTCAGAGCATGGGACTTCTTCGTGAAGACCTACGAAATGGTGAAGACTGGGTTTCCTAGAACTGTCCCTGTCACTCCTGCCCCCATATCCACATTGAGCATATGTGTTACTTGATGCAATTGTTGTCATAGAGATCATTCTTGTTTGTTAAATAAATGAAACAAATAGTTACAGAAAACTAGACAATGTAAACTGTACATGTATAAATAAGCTATTTCCTTTCAAATTCCAAATGTCTTTCTTTCTCTTGCTTTTTGCCTTTCCATCTAATTATATAGACTTAACATAGTTTTCACTGAGAATTTTTGTCGGTAAAGAGTTGGGCTATTGGTATATGTATACCATGGAGTACTATTCAGCTCTAAGAAACAACGGTGATATAGCACATCTTATATTTTCCTGGTTAGAGCTGGAACCCATACTACTAAGTGAAGTATCCCAAGAATGGAAAAACAAGAACCACATATACTCACCAGCAAACTGGTATTAAATGAGCAGCACCTAAGTGGACACATAGGTACTACAGTAATAGGGTATTGGGCAGGGGGGCGGGGGTGGGTATATACATACATAATGAGTGAGATGTGCACTGTCTGGGGGATGGTCATGCTGGAGACTCAGACTTGTGGGGGGAGGGGGGAAAGGGCATTTATTGAAACCTTAAAATCTGTACCCCCATCATATGCTGAAATAAAAAAAATAAAAATAATTTTAAAAAAAGAGTTGGGCTATCTACTACGTGCAAAACATATGAAAACATATAGAAACAAGCCATATATTCCATTTGGATGAAAAGAAAAGGGAGGTGGTGGTGGTGGTGGTCCTAGGTAAGGTGATCACAGAATGAAGTTCTAGAAGCCAAAATATCCGTGCCATAACCCATGATAGTAAATCTAATTCAATGGATTTGCTTCATATCCTAGAGGACAAAGTTGCAGAAAATGATATGAATCAGAAATCCTAATTTGAAAAGTTGGTTGAAAATGAAATCACTCCCTTCTTACATGTGTTCCCTATTAACTGACAATTATGGGACCACACTGAAATGTGTCCTTCCTTAGTGTTTCAAGCCAGTCCACCTAGGCCATCTCTGTCATTAAGTGTCTTAATGTTCTAATTTAATTAGATCGTCTCAGTCCCCTCCCTCCCTGCCATTCCTCTAGGGCAGCCTACAATTGACTCTTTCCTGGCCAGCAGTTCCAAAATGTCCTCCCTGACCACACTTTCTCCCCCTTCATCTTGTATTCTGAAATGAAAAATTTCCTAACCCACCCTTTTTTTTTTTTTTTTTTGAGACAGAGTTGCTCTCTGTCACCTGGGCTAGAATCCATAGAGTGCAGCGTCATCATCATAGCTCACTGCAACCTCAAACTCCTGGGCTTAAGCAATCCTCCCACCTCAGCCTCCTGAATAGCTGAGACTATAGGCCACGACACCTAGCTAATTTTTCTATTTTTTTGTAGAGATAGTGTCTTGCTCTTGCTCAGGCTGTTCTCAAACTCCTGACCTCAAGGGATCCTCCCATCTCGGCCTTCCAAAGTGCTAGGATTAGAGGTATGAGCCACCACACCCAGCTTAACCCACTCTTATAATTGTCTGCACCCTTTTTCTAAGCCACATCCTTATACAGATTTCTATCTCAGTGCTTTCAACATTGTATTGCACCCAGAATGCTTATTTATATGTCTGTCTCCTACTAGACTCTCCTTTTGGCCAAGGATTTCAAATGATTTTATTTCATAAAACAATTTTAGCATGCAGTGTGATGATTGTTTATGGAATAAATGAATGAGTGAATCAAAAGATGGGTGAATGAATGAATGGCACAGAACCTATAAGTTAATGTTTTTTAGTATATATGGTTGGGTGTAGCCACAAGAAATAGCATGAATAACCATGGGTGATGACCATATGGATGCAAGGAAGGTAAGTGAAACGGTTGTTTAAAGGTGTCTGTAAACCAAAATGTACTCACTGAAGTTATAATCCACAGAATTTTGAATCACAATGATCAATAGGAAACGGTATAACAATGTTTTCTTAAAAGCACAGAATAATATTTGAGATGATGGATATGCTAATTACTCTCATCTGATCGCTATACATTATGTTATCGAAATGTCACTATGTGACCCATAAATGTGTACAATTATTATATGTCAACTAAAACAATTATATTTAAAAAATCACAGAATAAGATAGTTCTGGATTTAAACATATCTCCACTACTTAAAAAGACTGCACTGGGTCCATTCTTTTACTCTTATGACCTCATTTCTGTATATATAAGATTAAATAGTCAAAGTAGGCAGCATGCCTAGAACTATATAAATAGAGGCCACGTGACTCACACATGTTCAAGTAAAACCAAAAAGGTTTGATTCAAAGTTGTTGTTAGACCCTGAAATAAGTTAATAGACTCTCATCCCAGAGTCACTCACTGAAACACTTCAGTTTAAAAAAAAAAAAATGTTTTGGCAGTTATCTATATAACCATACTTATTTTTTAAAAAAAGGTTTTTCAAAGGCAAGAAAACATTTTTGTGGGTAAACACTTTCACACTCCAAAATTATTATTGTCATCGGTACGTTCCCTGAGGGATTTGAATACATATGGATGTTGGGGAAACAGTCAAGTTTCTTATTATCCGTGGCTTGATAATTGAGGATTTTACTATCCTAGTCAGCCATTCTCTACAGAGAGGCAATGTGGGTTTGACCACATTCAAAAATTAGTCCTAGCCATTGGTACTTGGAAGGAGCACAAGATAAAGAGAAAAAGCTCTTAAAACAGGTTGACTATCATAATACCATCCTTGGAGCATGTCTTTGATCTGAAAGCATCTGTTGTAGCTTTTAGGTAAAACAAAGAACTCATAACATTCTACCAAGATCTTGCCAAGCTCCAAGATTCAGTAATAGCTATGAAATAAAGCAATGGCATCATAATACTTTGAAAAAGCTAACTTTCTATTTCATGAAAGTTATTCTATTTCAGAATATTGCCTAAGAAAGACGAGGTATTTACTCAATAACATGAAAAGACAGAATTGAGAGTTGGAAAGTCTCCTTTGATTTCCATGTTAAAATTTCCTGATTAGTTATTTTCCCTTAAAAATATCATGACCTTAACCACAAAGGATCATAAAATCAGTATGGATTCAAATAGAAAAATAAACAAACCTCTCAAAATTCCCTTTGCAACAATAGGCAGTGATGTCAGTCTTCTTAGCCATTTGATATCTTCCCAGCTGATAGATGGATCTATTTCTTTAGATACATATGCAGCAAGTCCGCTGTTGTCTCCAAAATTTTTCTTAGGAGAAAATGCTAAATCACTGCTTTCAAAATTTTTCATCCTGAAATAAAGAGATGCATAAAATGAAAAATTTCCCAAAGTTAGAGATATGTTTACAATGATTCACTCAATGAAAAAAGAAGTTACCCTTTTCAAATCAATTGGCTGTTCACTCCTCAATCATTTTTAAGTTGATTGCATGCATGTTTTCCACATTTTGATACAGAATTCTAGGCTAAATGTAACAATATAGTGGTCTTAATTGGTCACCCACAGCTTATTTTATAATTCAGGCTGTGTTTATACAAACAAATCAATTCCAAGGAAAAATATGTGGCTAGATACAAATATCTCCTTTTTAAGCCATTTATAGATATAGATAATAGACTTGATGCTATTTTCTGCCATCATTGCAAATTAATCATTATGAAAAACATTTGTATGGCACCTTAAAATTTACAAAGGGCTTTCATATACCAAAATCATTATAACATTTTCTTCAAAAAAACTTGTAAAAAATTAATTTGATGCTCTACAATTCCCATTTTAAATAGAAAATAAAAACAGACTTGCACCACAAGTTGCTCTAACAATAAAATTCACAACTGGCAGCATTTGGAAAAACCTCAGGAAACGTCCAATGCCCTTGTAGAAAATCCTAGAGGATGTTGAAACTTCAGTAACGTGTGTTAACATCTTCTGTCTGTTGCTACTGCAGTCGCTTTCCTGTCCTGCTCTTGTGGTGGTGTTGGCGGCCATGTTGCCTTTTCTTGCTCCTGGAGCCTGAGTCAACCCCCACACAGCAGACCGAAAGGGCCAGGGATGTTGAAGTGTAAATGCCCCAGCTCCCTCGCACCTAGGTAGACTGTCTCTAAGATGAATTCTACATAAACACCGGGAATCTTCTAGCAGGATCAAGCTGCAGTTGCCCACAGTTGTAGTTGTCTTGATAACATGCCCTTTGATCAATGCCTTCCCTCCTTTGTTCCATTTTTCGCCTTAAAATGAACTACTTACACTTAAATCACAGGTTCACAGTCTGCTTCTAGGGAAACCCAAACCCAGACACAACACCACTGAGTTGCTGCCTTCCCCTGTGTTTAACTCTGTGGACCCAGCTTAGCCCAGTGTTTCACTAACACACTTCTAAGATTCTGCTGCTGGCCGGCTCACCCTATGCCAGAAGTCTTTTCTCTTGGCCTAATATCCTGACTCAGTTTTGGCAATTCCCCCAACTAGGGCAAAGACTTTTCTGCCTGCCCCTCTGACCGCTAGCTGGATGGATGGCTATCTGGACACAGAATGGAATCATCCCTGTGACTTGGCTGCCCTCAGCCCCAAATCCAGTTGGGAACTCTTTTCCTGAAATGGTGTCTTTGAATGATGACAATGACCTGGATTCGTGTTGCTCTTTTGCATGTTATTAATTACCCTGCCAGCCAATCTCTGTTTCGGTAAAAGCAGAGCTGTATATAGATGTCTGACTTAGTCCTAGTTCTACCTTCCCTGCCACCAGCTCTGCCGTTGAATGTTGAAAAGATCTTGGAGCCATAACTATACAAATGTATGCATAAACCTGGAAGTATCCAGGCATGCTATTTTTATTTTTTTATAATAGATGAGAGTCTCCTAATGTTGCCCAGGCTGGCCTCAAACTCATGACCTCAAGTAATCCTCCCACCTCAGCCTCCTGAGTGGCTGGGACTATCTACAGGCATGTGTCACTGCACCTGGTTTAGCCACCTTATTTTTTAAATATTTTTACACAATCATGACTTCCTTTAATAGGACCAAACAAAACTATGTTTGATGTTTTTATATTTTAGTGTATTTTAGCTAATGTAACAGACTGTATAGTTTAGGTGGCATATGTTATCATAAGGACATGAACATCCATATCCCACATTACTCAATTAAAGCTATTGACAAAGTTTTCTTAATGAGGATTGAATAGTTAGTCCTAGAGTTTCATGGACTCAGCTGGCCACTAAACATCATGGAAAGTTCCAGTGAGAGACATATGGATGGATACCCATCTAATTCGGGGGCTATGGTAGGGATTTCAGCTGACATGCTTCGGCATTTTCTTTTTCCAATCAAATCACTTAGGGTTGTACATTTTATCACAGGCTCTGGTCTTCTGTGGTCACTCTAACTTGAAGTGAATTAAGCTAATCTTCTGGTCAATAAATATATTCTTATTATGGAGACCTAGTTCATTACTTACAAATAATATTAGATGACATTAAATTCCAAGTTTTTAAATAATATTCTTAATAAGAAAAAGTCCAATCTGTCTATCTCATAACAAGACCAGAAAAAGAAAAAGAAAAACATCTGTATGTGCGTATACTCTGCATGGCACCCCGCCCCCATCCCAAACAAGCTACAGTGTTTCAGCAGGGGTGGGGTGAAAGGGTGAAATGGATAGGAAAAAACAGAAACATGGATAAAATTATATAAATAACTGTTGTTATTCTTGGACGGTGAAATGCAGATCAACACTTGAATGAATGTTGCCTTACAGAAATTTCAGTGCACAATGAAGCCTTGTTGTGACTCTAAAACTTTGTTCAAAGCCAGAAGCCAAGAAAAAGTTTTCAGATATCCTGACAGAGACCCACGACGGAGTGTTTTACCAATGGCTCCGAAAGAAACCTCCATGAATGCTATTTTTATTTGGATTATGACATATATATAAAAAGCATTTAAAGTGGCTTCTGATAACCAAAGTATTCCATTTCGTAAGGAAGGAAAGGGGCGACATCAAAATAACAACATACTTAGGGTTTAATTCCCCGAATCCCGATCTGTTTAATGCTGCAACGGCACAGGACAAGATTTCCCCTCTGTAGGGCACTTATTTAGAACCTGAGTGGCCTTCAGATATGCTTTTTAATCAAATGAAGAAATTGGCTTAGCTTTTAGTAAGTTATCATCAAAAAAATAAAACAATAGTACAACTACTAAATAAAGTTTAACATTAATCAACCAGTAGTAACACTGAGTATTGAGTAATATGCAATATTATTTATTATAAATATTGATAACCTGACATTAAAGATAAAGCCACACGTCTCTATATTGGGGTAACTAAAAAATAAAGCAACCAGTAGAACCCACAATATCAACACATTATGAAAAGAAAGAGAGATGTCCATAATCCATATAGGGATCGGTGCCTGGGCCACCAGCCTTTAATTCTGTTGTTAATTCTTGTGTTGAGAACATGGATCTGGTGATTTCTTCCTCAATGTGGCTAGACAGAAGAAAGATTCAGGGCACGAATTTCTTACTGGTCATGTTATATTAGGAAAATCTCACATGTTCCAGTACATTTTTATTGATTGATTCAACAATTACACATTGAACACCTATTCCATGCCAGTATTTCAGATATTTAGGGTATACTAGTAAATAAAAGTCAAAAATCTCCAACCCTAGGAAATATAATAAGTAAATTCTGAAGCATGGTAGAACATAAGTACTATGCCAACCATATTTTTCTTTATACAAGAAAAAAAAAAAAAGAAATAAGGAATAAACAAAGAAAGAAAAAAATAGGACAGAATAAGAGGAAAGTGAGTTGCCAGAGCCTCAAGTTGAAATTTCAAATACGGTAACCAGGGCTGGGTTTACTGGGAAGCTACTTGGAAGAGGAAATAAGCAGAGTGGTGTTATTATGTTTGTTCCTTATTGCTGCTGTAACAAATGGCCCCAAATGTGGAAGCTTAAAATTACACAAATGTACTATATTACAGTTTTGCAGCTCAGAAATCCAAAATGGGTCTTATTGGACTAAACTCAAAGTGTCAACAGGGCTGCACTCCTTTTAGAGAATTCAGGTGAAGACCTGTTCCCTTGCCTCTTCCAGCTTCTAGAGACCATCTGCTTTTTCTGGCTTCTGGCCATCCCTGCAACCTCCACTTCTATCATTTCATCTCTCTCTGACTCTAACACTCACGCCTCCCTCTTATAAGGACTCTTTTAATTACATTAAGCCTGCTTGGATAAAACAGGACAATTAACTCATCTCACGGTCCTTAACTTAATCACATCTGCATAGTCTGTTTTGCCATGTAAAGTAACAGGTTCCAGAGATTAGGAAATGGACATCTTTGTCCTACCGCAATTATCAATGTGAACGTTTTCCTAACCAAGGTGTTTCGAGGCTACTGGGCTACATAACAAGTCCTCCATCAAGCTCTCTCTTCCAGCTACCAGCCCCTGCCCCACCCCTGATCATATTATGATGTCCCTGTCCTGGTCTGTATCATTGATTTTTATTGTGGTTCCCAACAGAGAGACATGTAGATCCACCTCTAACGTCTAGTCTTAAAGGAATTGAGGACGTTATGCACACAACGATTTGGGAAAGGAATGTTACAGGCAGAGGGAACAGACAAGGCTAAGGCCCCGGGGCTCAAGCATGTGGCATGTGGCAAGCACAGCACAGCCAGAGTGGAAGAGTGAGTGAGGATGGGAGTTGTGGGCAATAAGGCAGAGACACAATGGGGCCCACGCACATAGCACCGGGGAGGCCTGTTTTACCCTCAGAGACTTGGGAAGACAGTGACAGCCTGATGTGGTTTAGGGTGATCTATTAATAAATCACCTCTGGCCTTAAGAAAGCATGTCACTGGGCAAATTGTAGAAAGGGTAAGCACCGTAGTTTACCTTGATATTAGTCAATGATCAGAAATTACTTTTCTCCTCTTTAAACTGCCCTGGCACTGAACTAAAGAGCCGAACCTTAACCCTGAGAAGGGAGCCACCCGTCTCCATGGGGAAGGAAGAAAGAAAAGACCCCTGCCTCAAAGCCTCAGGAATCAGTCTGGTCAACTGGCTTCATTCCTTGCTTCTTCCGAGAGCAGATGAGAACTCTCCTCACTCCCTCTCAGTTTCAGGAACCTCCATGTCATTAATAATGTACACACACACATACATGTGTTTTGCATATGGGCCAAGCAGAGACTACTGAAACTCTGAACTCTTGCTGGTCACAGATGCCAAGAGTCGGGCAAGAGGAAGTAGCAAAAGCTGGAAGGAGCCACTGCATTACAGACTCATTCTCCTCTGGATTTCCTGCCTCTCTCGCCTGCCAAACCTCACTTCTGAAAAGCCAGGCTTCACCTTCTATGAGTCAGGTCGGTGGCGGAAAGAAACCAATTTCATATCAGAGTGTAACAGATGAGCTTTTTGGTGTATGTGGCCTCAGGCGGAAGCCTGGACCTCCCATTAGAGCGCTCTGCCTTCTCAAGCTGAATGCGGGCTGCTGGGGAACCGACTAGAAGGTGCTAGCCTGCTCCGGAGTCCACCAGGACAAACAGCACCAGTGTGCACTCTGGGGGGCTGGGGTGCACCCTGCTGCGGGGTGTTTCCCATGTTCCCTATAACCTGGATATGTTGCTCATGATTTGATCATCTTCAGACCGGACATGTGACAAGCCAGGGAACCGCAGCAAGCCCTGTGCACACCTACAGCTGAAAAGGGTCTTTGTTTTATGGCCCTCCACGTCATCTGGGCAGGAGCCCAGGAGCAAAAGAAAAGGGGAAAAGCAAATCAACCTTCCCGCCACTCACCGGGTGACCTCGGCACTGAAGGGACAGGAGGTACCAGCTGCATTAACAGCGGTGCCATCTCACCCACCTAAGTAGATACCCCTCAAAACATTTTGCTGTCCCAAACAAAAAAGTGATTCTTAGGTTTCAAAAAAAGCAAACAAACCAAAAAAACCTCCCCGTATTTATTATTGTTAGTAGTAATAGTATTAAGAGGACAAGGAAAAGGAAGAGCAAATTCCTTTTCAAATGGCCAAGGGGAAACAATGAGGAATGTTTCCTGTAAGAAGTCTAGATAGTGGGAAAATAATTATTTTAGAAAGTTGAAAAAAAAAAGTAAGGTAATCAAAATAGAGAAATAATGTAAATATAGATTTCATATAAGGGAAATTTGAAGTCATCAGCTTTCTGATGAATTTGGCAAGGTATAAGACTATGTCAGGGGCTTTCAAAAGCAATTTATGTAACCAAATCATTTTCCCCCCATAATATTCTGAAATAAATTTAAAAAAGAAAGATACCAGCATCAACAAATTAAACTTTTATATACTAAAAAAATAAATAAAATTTTAAAAACTAAAGACAGGGCTTTTGGGTAACCCTGCGTCTGGAATACGTGGGGCTGTGTTGGCACACCTGGCAGGAAAAAAACTTTCCCTTTTTTGTCATTGCCCCACTGCAGGTATATCCATGCCAGAACTAATATGGCAATTACATGACATGCATACAAGACTATATACCAACTTCTGTGGCGGTTGAGATAAACCTCAAGCTGAATATAATATATATGAAATTCCTGGCATCCACTACTCTTCTTGCCTTTATGTAGAATGCTGATTTAATTTTGAATCTTTTAGTTTTCGAATCTTTTAGAAGGATACACAGCAGTATGTTTACATGTGGCTTCTTTTATCTTGTCTATCTTTTTTGAATCTTCTTAGCCCCAGTTTTTACAAGTACAATTAAAACACAAAGTATGTAATGGCCTATGGAATGAGGGCTGAGGGCCCAGGAAGGAATCCCTCATGGTTTCTCATACTCTTATGGGTGTTTTGGGGGTTCCAACACAAAAACATCCTTCCTTAAAACTAAGAGTTCAATCACTGTTCAAATACATATAGCCCTGAGGGCTACTGCATATCACATCTGAATTGATATGAAAACCCCAAAGAGCACACTTGGGAAATGAAGGAAGAAAAAAAGTGATGGGGAAAAGAGTTGAATAGCTTAGGAAGGTTGAGATCTTTTTCAGCAAACTACACTGACTTCCCAGCTTTGACTGAAGATGATTCTAATCATAAAATACTACAAGGAAAGAGACAACAATTTACTGCTGATGGACAAGATGGATGAATGACCTGATAAAACCATCATAGTTCAGTTTTAGATTATTCAATACATTGTTTTTGGTAAGATGAATGAGTGAGTGAATGAATGAATCTTGACCCATGTATCAATGACAATGAAAGAAGAATATTGCTGAAAGAGGAAGTAGAAGACTAGGCATCAAAATTGCGGCTTCTTTCACCTCCACTCTTTTCTCTTTTTTCAATTTTTTTAGCCTTAGCTACTCCAAATGCAATTAAAAATAAAATTCAAAGGTGGATCTTTGATTTCAGCAAAGAAATGAAGTATCAGGATCTCAATAACAAATTGTTGCTTGGGTAAATATCTTCCATCTGCATGTCAACTAATCCTTCCCAAAACACTTAATGCACTCTGGTACAAAAATTTACTTGACTTTTACAAGTATATACACAATTACTATCTTTGCTTTTTAGCTCAAAGAAGTGTCACCCACAAAAGAACTGTAATTTGCCAGAGATTACCTGGATATTTAACAATGATGCCATCTGTAAGAACCAGATAACTCTCATTCCTAGACATGATCCCTTCCAACCCAAACCAGCTCAGGGCCAACGCGATCATGGTTACCTGAGTTGTGGTGGCAGCTTGAATCTGTTACGCACATCGTCAAAGCGGTTGCCCAGGTAAGGAGTGTCCACCGTCACGAATATGGCCTTGTAGCCCATCCGCTCTGCCCGCCGCACTAGCTGCTTGGTGATCTCACGGTCCTTGTAGATGTACAGTTGCAGCCAGCGAAGTGCCTCGGGACCAGCCTCTGCCACTTCTTCAATTGAGGAGGTGGCCCAGGTACTCAGCATCATGCCAATTCCCAGGGACCGACAGGCTGAGAAAGAGAGGACATGATCAAGGTGGATCTGGCATCATTCTCCCTCTTAAGACTTCAAGTTGCAGGTCAAAGGGTGAAGACTGTAAGGGCCATTTGGCAGTATGAAGTTAAATCTTTTAAAAGTTAGAAATATGCATTCCTTTCCACACACTATGTATCTCTCCTAAAGGAAAAAAAAATGAGTCAAATAGGCAAAGATAGGCTATATGCATGTAAAAATTATGAACAACCTGAATGTCCAGTCTTAGGGGATTGATTAAACTACAGCTCATCTATAAAATGGCATATGTATACCCATTAAAGGTAATTTATTGTGATGCTTAGTTTTATGGATCCACTTGGCTAGGTTGTGGTGCCCAGATATTTGGTAAAACACATCTGGATGTTGCTGTGAAAGATATTTTTTAGATGAACTTAACATTTAAATCAGTAGACTTTGAGTAAATCAACTTTTCCTCATAATGAAGATGGGCCTCATCCAATCAATTGAAGCCCTTAAGAATAAGACTGGCCTCGTCTTAGGAAGAGAAAGAGGGAATTATGCCAGCAGATTGTGTTTAGATGGGAGCTGCAACATCAACTTTTCCCTGAGACTCTAGCCTGCATACCTAACCTGCAGATTTTGGATTTTCCAGCCTTCACAATTAGGTGAGCCAATTCCTGAAAATAAATATGTTCCTATTTATGGAGATATATATATAAAGATAGATATATACATACATACATACATAGATGTAGATATGTAATATAGATATAGACATGTGTGTGTATATATATGTGTGTGTTTGTGTGTGTATGTATGTATCTCCAGAGAGAAAGAGAAAGAGAGAGGGGAAGAGAGAGAGAGAGAGAGAGAAAGTGAGAGAGAGATCCTGCTGCTGCTTCTTTTCTGTAAAACTCTATTACAATTATAAAACAATATTTACAGGCATAGAAAGATGTATAAGATATATAGATATATTAAGGAAAGGAAAAATTCCACAAAATGACAGGTATAACATGATTCCATGTTTATACAAATGTAATTATTAGTATATGAATGTAAACAAACTAAATGCCAATGATGGGTGGGAGAAATATGGCTGAGTTTAATTTTTTCTTCTTTTAATTTTTTTAATTTTATTTCCAAAGTTTTATTGAAGATACAGTCTGCCATTTATGTTGTCTTTCAAAATTTCATAAAATGTGCCTGCTATTAAATATCCCATACAGACTTGCATCCTTTTGAGGAAGGTAGCAGTTATATACTTTTGACGAAGGTAGCAAAAAGTGAGCAAATAAATGAAAAATTAAATGCAGTCATCTAACCAATATAGTTTTCCAGAATATTTGAAAGGACATGGGTGATAGGCTTTTCTCCAAAATTAGATGGTAAAATTGGAGTCGGATTTAGTGGAAGAGAAACCAATACAGTGTTTATGGGCCATATGCAGAATACGCCAAGAGATAAATTATCAGTGTATAAAACTGACCATGTAACTCCAGATCATTTAAAGTATCTGAGTGCTCACCATGTATCAAATGGAAGTAAACACAGTTGTCTAAGTGACACTCATAGAATAATGATGAAAATCAAGTTACTCGCTGTTTATAAAGCTACACTGAGAGGTTAAAAAGCTTCCCTGGTTCACAAATTTTAGAGGACAACCAAGTCCCCTGGAGGGTTTGTGAAATCACAGATGTCTGGGTCCCACCCACAGAGTTTTCTGGTTCAGTAGGTCTGAGATGAGGCCCAAGAATTTGCCTTTCTAACTTGCTTCCACATTTTACTGATACTGCCAGTGTTGGATTACACTCTGAAATTTAAAGAGCATCATAACCATTTGATAGTAAAAGCCTAAGTTCAAATAGTAACAAAATGAATTCAAAAATATATATATATCACTTTTAAAAAAAAGAAAAAAAACACCTTTCAAGGTGTTTGTCATCCATTTTCTCCAGGTCATTGGTCAGATACTGCAGCTCTGAGCTGGAGAGCATGATATCTGCAAGTCAATAATCTGTCCTCCCAACCCCAAGAGTTCCTTTGAGAACTTCTGCCATAGAGGCTCAGGACTTGCAAAATACTGTCCAAAAAATATTTTATTAAGTAACGACACATATTAACATCTGGACCATGACCATTGTCTGATATTCATTGATTTGTAAATATGGACAATAATTCCAGGCCACCCACTGCTGTTTAGAGGGACCACCAGGGGACATTGATTACTTGGGTCACCATCCTCCATCAATTTAGCCAAAAGAAATTATGTCCCAAAAAGGATGTTACCTAACTAAGGTCCCACAGAGATGAGCAGCAAAGTAGGTCAGACAAGAACCCAGCATGTCTGACCACTCCCCCAGGGCAATGGCCTTTCTAGAATTCCCAGAGTCTTAAAAGACTCCCTGGTACCAAACATAGATAAATGTACTCCCTCACTATTTCAGGACCATGACACCCAAGAGAGTAGGTTGCCATGTGTCTAAGAGATACTACCTTGCCATCAGCTCTGGGAAGGCATAGAATCTTAGAATTCAGTGGGAAGGTCTGCCGCATAATGTTAGTGCAGAGTGTGGATGCACAAAAGGGCACCACTCAAAGAGAACCACTCAGATGACAGGGCATCTACTGTAGTTAATACAAAGGCCTTCATGCAAGCCAGCAGCAGCTCTACCAATAGGATATCAAAATCCACACAAAAAAATCTTGACTTCATAAGAAATATCTACAGGCATTCTACACAGATTGCATGAGTGCCACAAAACAATGTGCAAATAATACCTACTTCACCTTAACTGCCTAAGGTTGCAGGAATTGTCAACCATCACAGATATTCTACGCAAATCACTGGGATATGCATGTCCAGAGAGAAGCAAGGTCAATTTATTCCATCTATATCCTGAATCTACTCGTTCTGATATAAATAGCTTCAAGAGTCATTGCTCAGTGTTTATTTTCCAATGATTAAATCACATGTGGCTGCAAATTTGAATAGGTGTCCCCCAAATTCTAAGTTACCATTGTTCCCAGTTATAGGCATCCAATAAATCTTTGGTGATTTAATAAATTATCCCAAGAGAATTCTACTGGATGAAGGAAGAATATCAGAGTCTGTGCTGACATATTATCATTTGAGGCTAGGACAAAACAGAGGAGTAAAACTTAGAAGGCTTCATGCTCCCTGAAACAAATATCAGTGATCATTATGATCTCAATTCACTTGTGATTATTTGCTGTGATAAATGAAAATTATTGATGAATCATATCCACTATTTTCAACACAGTTTTATATTAAAATGAACTAAGGGAGCCTGGGATTTTAAAAATGTTATGAATGAGATAGCATGGTCAGTCTTCGTTTAAAAGTTCTAATTATATAAGAAACACTGGCAAGGTCTCAGGCATTGGTGCACCAAAGAGATAGGTACATAAATGACCTGGTTGATAATATTAATACTTATATCTCAGTACAACAACAAGGCATAATGGATTAAGAATCAAAAGGCCTTGGCTACAGTCCCAGCCTTGCCATCCGGGTAGCAAATTCCATCTGCAAAACAGCCACCTTTCCCACTCCATAGCATGACTAGATAATCCATTGAGGCAATGTTTGTGGATATTTCCTGTGTAAACTCTGAAGCCATGCAATCATAAAGGGTTAGATGAGAGAATGTCTAATTCTATTTGGAAAAAGAAGTCCTATATAGCTTTATACACTTCCTCAATTTTGCCAAGGATTTGGGATTTTTAACATCATTGTTCATTAATGTTCTGCACATTCAGCTTTCCTCTGAAATTATTTTTTAGTTAACTTTTATTTACTTTAATTGACAAATAATAGTTGGATATATTTATGCCATACAATGTGATGTTTTGACCCATGTATACATTGTAGAAAGATTTAAACAAGCTAATTAACATATCCATCACTTTACCAACTTATCATTTTTTGTGTGTGTGGTGAGGACATTAAAAATATATTCTTCTAGCAGTGTTGAAATATACAATATATTATCATTAACTGTAGTCACCATGAAGTACAATAGATCTCTAAAATTTATTCCTCCAGTCTAACTGAAACTCTGTACCCTTCATCAACATCTCTGTCTCTCCCCTCCCATCCTCTGGTAACCATACCACTCTGTGGTAACGTTTTAGATTCCACATATAAGTGAGATCATATAGTATTTGACTATTATGCCTGGATTATTCCACTAAGCATAATTTTCTCCAGGTTCATCCATGTTGTCACAAAAGACAAGATTTCCCTCTTTTTAAAGGCTGAATAGTATTCCATTGTGCATATATACCATGTTTTCTTTGTCCATTCATCTGTTGACAGACACTTAGTTTTGTTCCTTATCACAGCTATTGTGAATAATGCTGCAGTAAACATGGGTATGAGGTTATCTCTTCAATATACCTATTTCAATTCCTTTGGCTATGTAGCCAGAAGTGTCATTGCTGGATTGTGGATTAGTTCTATTTTTAGCTTTTTGAGGAATTATATCAAACTAAAAAGTTTCTGCACAAGCAAAAAAAAAAAAAAATTAACAAAGTGAAGATACAACCCATGGATTGGTAGAAAATACTTGTAAACCATACACCTAATAAGGGGATTATATCCGAAATATATAAAGAACTCAAACAACTCAATAGCAAGAAAATGGACAATCTGATTTTTTTTTAAAATGGGCAAAAGGTCTGAACAAACGTTTCTCAAAAACAGAAATACAAATGATCAACAGATATATGAAAAAAAAATGCTCAACATCAGTAATCATCAAGTAAATCTAAATTAAAACCACAATGAGCTATCACCTCCCACCTATTAGAATGGTTATTACCAAAAAGATGGAATGATAACAAGTATTTGAGAGGATATAGAGAAAAGGTAACCCCAGTATACTGTTGGTGAGAATGGAAATGTAAATGTGCAACCATTTTGGAAAATGATATGAAGTTTCCTCTCCAATGTTTTTCTGTTCAAAAAATTAATTCCTCTTTTCCATTG